CCCCCCCTCCAGTATTGCTTATTTTCATACAAAATCTCTATACATACCTTTTTCCTGCAATCTTCTAGTCTGTCCAGTAAAGTCACAGCACAGCAGTGCTTCCTCTTCTTCCTCCGGCAGTGGTGGTGGGAGCAGGCAGTCTTTCTGGACTGTGCAGTGCTCATGTATTGACGCCTGAGCACCGCTTAGTCCTGTAGTGTTGTCAGCCCACCCACTGTGGTGATGCACCCCCAGGAGTGTGTAAATGACGGGCTAGACTCTCAGAAAATGTACAGAATAACGCCAGTGTTGTTCTGCTCAAGGAGGACTGCCTGTGCCGGAGCGAGGAGAAAGCTGGGGACAGTGCTGGAGCAATTGCGTGGCACAGTGTGTTAATCACACAGGGCGGTGCGCTGTACTAGTGTGAACGGGCCCTCAAAAACACTGACAGATGCACACAACTACAGACACAATCTGACGGACGCGCACACACAGACATTCTCACTCACACATACACACTCCAAGAAATGTTTAATTTTTTTAAGATCCACCCAGTCTCCCTACCTTACGAGAACTGGAGTAGATCCTCAGCCTGGGATCCAGTCAGTGTGGGCTGCTGTGATGGAGCTCCATCCATATATGCATTGCTTGTACAGTTTCCTCGTGTACCCTGTAGAGGTGTCGGGAACCAGAATGTGAGGTCACTCCAGTCCAGGAGGGGGTCCCAAGGGGGCCACACACTAATCAAACTTCGGCCAGGTCAGCAGGACTCAAATTAAATTTGGCCAGTGTATTGCGCCACCTAGGTTTGTTCTTTTGTCTGCTTTGCAAGGATCCCACAACACAGCATTTTGAAGATGGAAGATATTTTGTGACTATAAAATAATATTTGTAGAGATCTTTCTGATTGTACTTCTTTTTAACTTTGCAGGACGCCCTGGGGCTCCCCTCTTGTTGGCCATGAGTGTGCAGGCATTCAGGTTGGTGTGCGCATCTGGGAAGGAGCACCTTCCTGCTGGAATACAGATTGAGTGCTTGGAGTGCTCTGGGCATGATCTCTACATTGGCACCAGTGATGGCTGTCTTCACCATCTGTTGCTGGTGGAAGAAAGTGGCACCGAGTCCGCTGGAATACCTCTGGGTCAGCAGTCAGATTATTCTAACACTAATTTTACTACCACGCGACAAAACCAGAGACAGCTAGGTGTGAAGAAGCCAATATGTGAGTTGAGAGCCGCCTCTGCCCTTGGCCGCTTACTTGTGCTGTGTGATAATACAATTTCTTTGCTGTGCAGTGACTCTCTTGAGCCAGTACCGGGAACTAAGATCAGGGGTGTTCTCAGCTTCACCCTGAATGAGAATCCAGTGAGCGGGGACCCCTTCAGTGTAGAGGTCTGCTTGATCTCCTCCAAGAGACGTACCGTGCAGATCTTCAGCGTGGGGCAGGAACGGGTACAGATAGTTCGAGAAGTGGCTACGCCTGAACAGCCATGTTGTCTTGCTGCTGATGGATATTATCTGTGCCTGGCACTCAGCAGCCGTTATGTCATCCTAAATTATAATACAGGGCATTGCCAGGATCTCTTTCCCTACCCCAGCGAGCAGAAGAGACCAATTATTAAGAGGATCAGCAGACAGGAGTTTCTGTTGGCAGGGCCTGGAGGCTTAGGTGGGTACAACATATAAATGTTTAAATTTGTTTTAAAATGAATAGCTGTGTTCTCAATTCCTGCTTTCATAGTAATTTATTTGTTGATGAAACATCTTAAGTAAATCGTATTGGAATGAATAAATCAATAGAGTAAGCCTCTTCGCTGAGCTGTGTTAAGGTGATGACGTCTCTATAAAATATATGTAAACCCAATCACTGCAATGTTATATAAAATTTATGGGAATGTAATTTTAAAAGTCATGTCCAATATTTTAAAATCTGCAGCTTTCTTTAAAATTAATACATTGTTGTTTTGCCTGGGCAGTGACTCAAAGTACTGTTACTACTGAATCAGCTTGACAGCCAGCCAACATATTTCTGCCAGTAGAGGTTTCCTTTAAGCCCTCATTCACATGACTAACAGTCGGCCCGTACAGCTCCGTGCTGCGGGTAGGCCGTATCGGGCCGCTCCCGGGAAGGACAGGTGCTGTGTGTGATTGCACGCAGCAGCCTGTTCTTCTCTATGGAAGTATGCGGCCGTACGCTCACCTGAACTACACGTCCGTGGGGGTGTCCCTGCTCGGACGCAGACAGGATCCATCATGTCTGCGTACGAGCACCGGCACCCGCACGGACATGCAGTTCGGGTGACCGTAAGGGGACGTACGGCCGCGTACTCCCATAGAGAAGAACATGCTGCGTGCAATCACACACAGCACCTGTCCTTCCCGGGAGCGGCCCGATATGGCCGTGCACGCAGCACGGAGTTGTACGTGCAGGCTGTTTAGTCGTGTGAATGAGGGCTAAAGTACGACGAAAGGCTCCTGTATGAGAGTCTAAAGTCCTTTATCCAACTACAATTGACGCAAAAGCCTCCCAAATTTTCCTTTACCTTCCCTGACTGAGCTAAATCCTCCTTCATTTGTGTCTCGCATGCTTCTCACAGTGGTAGGGATTCAGCAACAGAGGCAGAGCTGTCAATCCAGAAAGTAAGGGGGGAATTTTAGCTGGGTGCGGCCAAGTGCAGATTGACAAGCTACAGGCTTGTGAATCGGGAATGACAATGCTGATCGCTTTGTCCCCTGAAACATCTTCTTATCTCACTGTAGTGCAATTGGGCACAGCCTATATTAGAGTGGCAACTCTGCTCTGAATTTAAGAGCAGTGCAGGAGTGTTGCCACACCACCACAGGAATCCAAATTAGGAGGACTTTAGTGGCAGGATCAAAAGGTATTTGTGGACTAAGAGAACGCTGCATGTACAGATATGCTTATAATTAAGTGTTGCAGCACATATTTTGTTTTATTGGGAGGCCATAGTTCTACTTTAATACATTTGGTTCAGGTTTATCTCATTTGGTATGTTTTTTTGCTTACATTTTGCAAACTGTTACAGTCTTTTGTTGTTTTGGCAGGGATGTTTGCCACGGTAGCAGGGATCTCCCAGCGTGCTCCAGTTCGTTGGTCTGAGAATGTAATTGGAGCTGCGGTGTCTTTCCCTTATGTGCTGGCTCTAGATGAAGAGTTTATCACAGTGCACAGCATGTTAGATCAACAGCAGAAACAAAGCCTGCCCTTCAAAGAAGGAGTCATTCTACAGGATTTTGAAGGTACTTGTTATTGTTGAATAATATTTGTAATATTCCAGAATATTATGGCTTTTGTCCCACAAAAAGAGAGGAATTAAATGTATGTACACCAACGCTAGAGGTCTGGCAAATAAAAATCATCATTATTTTTGTATATTTCTACATAGATACTCCATCTAAAATGTTTTGATCATTTCAAGTTGAGGAGTGAGTTGGGTTCGATCTCTCAATGGGCTCTAAGGGTCTTTGGGAGCCTGATGGAAACACACACCCCTTCTTCTGCTTTTTGGTTTATGGAAGAGCCAATTTTGAGTTTATAAATTTGATCCACTGGAATTGTTTATTAAAACTGAAATGTAGACAAATTATATAAAAAAAATTATTCAGTTATGTATTCATTAAAAATGTAAATGCATTTTTTGCATACAACTAGTATATACCTAAATACGTCTTGGTGTTGATTTCTTTTAATCTTCTAGAAAACCACACTTTGACTGGGAGTAGAAAGGTCAGTGCTAGGCATATATCTGGCCTGTATTACTATGCACAGTGCATGTCAACCTAATACTGAACATGCTTGCTGGACGCTCCATCGTTTCCAGACTCCGCAGGCTGAGGAAGAATAAATGGCTAAAGCTGGCCATACACACCTTGTTTTTCTCTCGTTCAACCCTGCAGACTGGACAAGAGCAATACATCGATTTACTTCCATCCATGCTAAATGTCATGGATGGAGGAATCCTTGCTGATACCTTTTGTCTGCCCTAGCAGTAGCTAAATACCCAAACAACATCTGATTGGATGCAGGCGCTGCCCAACTGAGTGGGGGTGGGTGGGGTTGAGGTGGTGCAGACAGTTCCATCCATGACTAGGTTTTTGGAAAATCTAGCTGGAATCGGCCAACGAGTAAGCAGCCAGCCAAGTGTAGCTCCACTTTCGCAGTTACATTTGAGAAAACCCCACTATATGTTTGTTATGTGTTCCTATTCACACAGCATACCTTTAAAATATTTTTTAAAAATGCATTTCTTATCTTTTAGTTGTTTCTTTGGTGAAGGCGTTTGTGCATAATCAGAGCTACTATGACTAGCTTAAGAGTGAAAGTAGAAGGACAAACTGAAGAATGGACTGCTCTTCTTCTCATTAACATGCAATGGGTGACATTTATCAAAACTGGAGCCGACCGAATCTGGAGCAGATTTGCACTGCAGCCAATCAGCTTCTCTCTTTTTCATTTTTAAATCTTACCTGAGCAAACTGAAGAGAGATGCTACTGCTAATGAGATCTGCCAGCACAGTACAGATAGGGTTACTTATAGTAAACTTCCCACAGCCCCCTCCTTAACATTACATAGGTAGGGTTTTCAGTAAAAAGCACTTACAAATGTAAACAGCAATTTGTATTTATTTATTTCTTACGTTAGGCAATCTAAATGAGTACATATAACGGATATAAAATAAGTGTTTCCCAATTTGGCCGCAGAAGTGGAAATAGTGGAATAGTAGAACTTGCAGATGGCTTTGTGCCATTGACCTCACACCAGAGAGAGAATTGTTTTGGGTTTGGTTTTTTTATGTTTTCAATCTATTTCACTAATTTTTCCAAATAATGAAAACAATACAAAGACAGTTCCAACCAATTTTAGGTTATCCATCATCATCTGAAACACATTTACAGTTCAAATCATGCAAACAAAATCACATTATTCCAGAGTAACACATTTTCACTCATAAATACAATTTGCCATCTTTAGATTATTCGTCTGATCCTTCTATCTTTACATAAAGTTAGAAACTTCCCCCACTCATCCCCCTCTCACCCCACTCATCCCCCCTCCCCATTGCCAAAAAAAAAGAGAATTGTTTTGAACTGAGCACAATAAGGATGCTTGCAAAGTAAAGATATATATGTTGCGCACAGAAGTAAGATTGTTGTGTCCTCCTTTTGAATGGAATTCCATGTTTTTATTCATTTCTTGTGCACAGAGTTTCATTCATTTTGGGGTAGCTGAAGCACAGTCAGCTTTATAAACATTCTCTATGAACCCTGGTGTAAAAGGTGAAGTGCATGAGCAATTAGAATGATCACTGAAGGGGCACCAGTAGGACCTTTTCTTCTCTGTCACTTTACCCTTGTTAAAGAGGACCGTATTTGATCACATTACAAAAATACAGTCTTCAAATAATATTTGTTTCAGCTATTCATTAATATTCATACATAAATCTCTATCTTCCAGTCCGTTACAGATGCTTTAGCTTTAATTGTCTTAGTCTTATCTTTTCACTGTTTTTTCATATTGTCATCATTTGCTTGTTTCCTTCCTCTTATCAGAACAGGATATGTTTGGGAAGCCGTACAACAGCACAAATAGTCAGATAGAAAAAAAAAGGGAACAGAGCGCCACCTCCGTGTGTAAAATCGTTTATTACAATAAATAAAACAAGGGATAAAAGTACTCACAAACAAACGTTTTCATCAGGCTTTAACAACAAACGAGAGGCCACACTGTCTGTTAACCCAACATGATATCCCGCCGACTATGTAACACGGTAGTATCCGGTCACATCACCGTCCACCGACCGCAGTCAGCCAAGATTGACGCGTTTCAGGGGCAAGCCCCCTTCCTCAGAATCAGGGCTTGCCCCTGTTACATAGTCGGCGGGATATCATGTTGGGTCAACAGACAGTGTGGCCTGTCGTTTGTTTGTTAAAGCCTGATGAAAACGTTTGTGAGTACTTTTATCCCTTGTTTTATTTATTGTAATAAACGATTTTACACACGGAGGTGGCGCTCTGTTCCCTTTTGTTTTCTATGTTCGTGGTGGAAGCCCCAGAGCCTTGGATGAGCAGCCCCTCAAGTCTGTGTAAAAAAACTGGGATAAACTGTTGAAAACTTTGAGTGAGCAACAGCAAGTGGATTGTTCAGCTGGCAGCCATTAGCACCAAGAGCTAAAGAAAACTTTTTGTCTGCAAATAGTCAGATAACCTTAGTGATAAGTGTCAACATGGAGATAACTGGACACAGGAATATTAGCACTGAAAAAAGTAGTTTTTGATTCTTCTAATAGTCAATTGGGTCAAATCAGTGACCATGCCAGTGATCGCAGTGACAAAAGGATGGACATTTTTCTTGAACAAATGAAATTCTGACAGTAAATGTGGCTTTCATTTGGGAAACTTAACTAAATCCAAAATCCAGTGTTTAAACCAAACAAAATTTTAAACAACATATGTCAAATCTCTGATGAGAGAACGTTCATACAAATATCTAATAGTACATAACCAGCTTTAGACTAAGGGCCCTCATGAGGTTTGACTTTTTAAGTCTGGAGGATATAATGCACATGCTCATAGTAGCAAGGTACTGATTCAGGGGTGTGGAAATTAAAAAAGAAACTATTTTTTTTTTCTTATTTACGGTAATTTCCACACCCCTGAATCAGTACTTTGCTACTATGATGCTACTAAAGCGGTAGGCCCAACCTACATGTCCCTTATGACCATCTCCAGGTCCCTCATGACCATCTACTTGTCATGATACAAAAAATTATTTTAACCAAAACCGTATTTAACTGTGCCAAGAAGCACTTGGCCAGCTCGGTCACCTAACCGCACTGACCAACGAACGCTTGCAATTTGTGAGGGAAATGTAAAATTCATAGCGCAGGGCTGTGCTGGACGGCAGTATGGGGCACAGGTAGCACACAGGTAGCACACCCGTACCCGTCCCGGAGAGGAAGGGCCGTTTGGCAAGAGGTAGGTGTAGTGGAGGGGAAGAGGGGGCCAGCTTTAACCACTTCAAGACCAGGTGTTTAGACCCCCTTCCTGGCCAGGCCATTTTTCAGTGTTCAGCGCTGCGATACTTTGACTGACGTTTATTCCGTCATGCAACGCTGTACTGAAATGAATTTTATACCATTTTTTGGGGACAGATAGGGCGTTATTTCGGTGGTATTTAATCACCACTGGGGTTTTTATTTTTTATTATAATTAGGAAAAATTACAGAAAATTTTGAAAAAAAAAAGTTTTTTTTACATTATGTTAGGAAACATTTATTATTAACCAGTTTTTTGGTAAAATATAAAAGTCGGGGTCACGTCGGGTAAATAGACACCAAACATGTCAAGCTTTAAAATTGCGCGCATGTTATCTTGCAGCATGCTGTCCTCATTACATAACACTGAGCTGCATGGGAGTGAGGGATGTAGCAGTAAAGTGCTTTGTTCTCATCATCCGCTGCTCCTCACTATTGCCCATTCACACAATGTCTGGTATTTTTTCAAAGAATACACGGCATTCTCTGATTGGAGGAGCAGAGATGATGTCACATCCTGCCCTCTCCTATCCTTCTCCAATCCCAGAATATATTGTATGTGAGCACTTCTTGGAAGCTCAGCGTTATGTGTCGGAGATGGCATGCTTCAAGGTAAGTTTTTTTTTTATACTTTGTGGGCACCCTTGCACACCACACCCGACTTTTTAATGCTAGTTTTCACACCCAGTGCCATGTGTAAATTATCATTTTGTTCCTGGATTTTTGCTTTAATAACAAATTCTACACAGCAATGCACCCATATAAAATGAATCTATTTCTTGTGTAATAACGGTTTTCTCATTGCTGTAGAATCTAAAAGTGGTATAAGATATGTTACATAGGTTATATATAATCATATATGTATTTGCTAAAAAAGGAAACAGAACTTTTGGTTTTGGGGAGGGCGGGTGTTTGGCTGGTCTCTACTGTGATCTCTGACTCAGATTCTTATTCAGGAATACCTATTCCAATGGTGAATGCATGTTGCTTTGCCTTTTATGAATTTTGTTGTTATTATTATATGTGTAGCTTCTGCTCCTGCTGGGGACCCATGAAGCTTTGTTCTCATCTGGGCAGTAGCTAAGATGGCTAGACCCAGGGTGGTGGAAGAGCTCTTTTCTAGTGTGTAAGAGAGCAATAAAACTGGGCATGGCAAGTCTGTCCTATGTCGTCTATTGCATATAAAAACATTGGGTGGGTTCTGCTTTACCTTTAAATAGCGTATATTTAGGCTTGTTGGTTAGAGGTTACTTATGAGAATCTCCATTCGTGTTTCTCCCTTCCTGAGTGGATAAATTGCCTGTTAGCCACAGTTGTACTGAGGCCTCATTCTGACCCAGCATAGCGGTATAATGTGTTGAATATGAGCACCTTTGCTTGCCATCGCTACCTATTGTGGTGGTACATTTATTTCTGCTCGGAAAAGTAGCTATATTAAAGACACACTGTCACCTGACCATTTCTAGTTTGATCAGATTATACGAGTAATTATTTATTTTAGGCATGTTGTATACCTGTAAAAGCCTTCCTTGTGTAGACATCCTAAAGCTATGAGACTGCTGCTGGGTATCACCATATTGGCTGTGATGTCAGCAGACTCAGTACTGTCATTGCAGTGACACTCTTAGGGGTAAGCAACTTTGGGACTCCAGTTTTGGTGTACCTATAAAGTTCATCATGCATCTGGGAGTCATGCCTGTGGCAGTCAGTCTTGCAGTGCCTCCTGGGACTTGTAGTTTCACCACAGCTGGAGTGCTGAGGTTGCCTACCCCTGCTCTATAGCATTCCCCTTCTCTTTACCCAGCAGCTATATACAAGGTTATTAGGAGATGAATAAAGTGTATATAGCAAGTGAACAAAATGTACTTTTATGGAAAGGGAAAAACTGCAATTAAGCATTTAACCCCTTCGTGACTGACGACGTGTACGTCGCCAGCATCGGGGCTGTTTAAACAGACTCCCGGCGACTTTTGCCGCCGGGACTATCCTTTTCTGTGCTTTTTTTCTGGATTTTTTTCAGTTGGTGACAGGGTCTCTTTAAGTGTTATGACTTTTTTATTTTATTATATAATAATTTCTGTTCCATGTGTTTTTACAGGGCGGGTGATTGTAGCAACTCCAAATGGCGTGTATGTTTTAATTCCATTACCTTTGGAAAAACAGATACAGGATCTACTATCAAACCAGAGGGTAGAAGAAGCTCTCGTGCTAGCTAAAGGAGCTCGGCGCAATATTCCAAAGGAGAAATTTCAGGTGTGTTCTTAAACCTCCCGCTTTGAAATATGGCCAAACTACCTATTGTTTAAAACTAGGGATTCACCAATACCGTAATACTTGCCGATACTGAGTACCGATACAGGTATTTCCGCTAGCATGGAGCCTGCTTCCTGGCCAATCAGGAAGCCGAGTGGCATGTCATTTCCCACCGCCCAGCTCCATGCTCTTTGGCCAGCTCGATAATTGGGCGAGAAACCAGCTTCCCAGCCAATCAGCATGGAGCTGGCCAAACATCATGGAGCCGGCTTCTCGGGCCATTCAGGAAGCCAGCCCGGCTTCCTGATTGGCCAGGAAAAGCCGGCTCCATGTTCCCTTGCCACACTGTCGGTCAGAGGAAGTCTCCCTCTGACCGGAAGTTCTAGTATCGGGGATACGTATCGGAACATTTGGACGCGTACTCGCCCAAATACTCGGTATCGGCACCAATACTAGTATCGGTGCATCCCTACTAAAAATCACTGCTGTGGTGAAGCTGTGGAAGCATGTATGGAATAGAATGGGCTTAAAGGAGAACTATGTGGTTAGGGCTTTTCCCCATAGTTCTCCTTAGGGTAACGGGAGGACACAAACTAGCGTCCTCCCGTCACCCTAAGCTCGGTATACCGCGAGCTGCAGCTCACGGTATACTGAGACGCCGCAGCTGAAACGGATCCCGACAATTATGTCTGGATCTGCCCAGCTGTGTGAGTGACAGCTGGCTCTGCCTACCTAGAGGCAGAGCCAGCTGTATCCACCCCCTCCCCCCGTCCGTTCCGCTAGTCAGCGCTGGAGGATCGGAGGGGGAATCCAGCCCCTCCCCCTGTCACGGCAGAGAGCCGTGACAGGATCGAGAAGTGAGGAAACGCCGGTATGTGTTTGCTCACCTCCCGATCTACTGAGCCGACCTGTGACAGTCTCATTGTCGCAGGTCGGCTAGAACTGTGAGGATCGGTGAAAAGCACTCACCTCATAGTTCTCCTTTAAAGCTTTAGAATGCATCCCAGAATATATATGTATGCAATACATTACTGAGCTACCTTGGTACAATGATACATTACATTATGACAGCCTTAGAAAGAAACTCTTACCATGCTCCTTTTTACATTTACATTACAGTTAAGACTCACTAGTTATGGTAGTTAAAGGCCACATTATAATAGCTGTTCCGTTACATTAGATATACTTCCGGTTTGCCTTCTCTGGTATAAAAGTGAAGGCAATGAATGCAGACATTTCTGGCCTTGCTGAAGGGAAGCCTAAACTACCAGTATGCAAATCAACAAACAAAATTATTTTTTACAGGTTATGTACAGAAGAATCCTGCAACAGGCTGGATTTATTCAGTTTGCCAAGCTTCAGTTTTTAGAAGCAAAAGAATTATTCAGGTAAATCTCTATACGTTTTTCTATCCATTTCTTCTCAGCGGCAGAATGTTACAGATTTTTATTTGAAAGAACTGCATTGCTATCTTAAACCGTATGAACTGTTGTATAGAGCTGCAGCTAACGATTATTTTCAAAATCGATTAGTTAGCCGATTATTAGGTTTGATTAATCGGTTAATCGGATAAACAATAAAATAAAGTTTAAAAAAAGGCTCCAGTGATGGGACTACTAGTTTGTATTGAGGTTGTAGTCCATCACAGGAGCAAGCTTGGAGCGGTGGAAGTAAAAAAGAAAGAGATAGTGTGGTGTGCAATATAGTGAAATGGAAAGTGTAAAATTATACAGCAATCAATGCAGAATGCCGCCAGCTATAGAGGAATAAATCTGTTGGTAAATTCCAGGGCCTTCCCTATGATGAGGCAGCCTGAGGTGGTTACCTCAGGCGGCATCTCATGGGGGGGGCACAGGTGTGTGGGGGTGGGTGCATCAGGGAGGCGGAGGCGGCCTCCTAGCAACCTGTGATGCTCTGTCCGGCTTCCCGCCCAGCTCATTGACGTCACCGGATGCCAGTAGCTGAGTGGGACGCTTTGGCTGGCTTCCCACCACGCTTCCGACGACCAGTGATGTCAGTGAGCTGGGCGGGATGCCAGACAGTTGCTGAGAGCATGGCCTTTCTTTCCCCCACCACAGTGTCCTGCAAAGCGCCTGGCACCCAGTGACAGACTGCTGAATTCCAATTCCCCCCACTCCACCCCTTCAGGCGGCAGAAAAACTAGGGATGTCCCTGGGTTTATTTTTAATGTCTATTGTATACAGTGTGTAATTGATGTGTTTTGGTCATTGTAGAACTAGTCACCTAGATATCCGGGAGTTGATTTCTCTCTACCCTCTCCTGATGCCTTCATCCTCGGGATTTATCCGCGCACATCCTCCCCTGCACGAATATGCCGATCTCAATCAGCTCACCCGAGGAGACCAGGAGAAGGTGTCCAAATGCAAACGTTTCCTCATGTCTTATTTAAGCGAAATCCGCAGCACAGAGGTGGCTAATGGTTACCAGCAGGATGTGGACACGGCCTTGCTGAAACTTTATGCAGAGGCAGATCATGAGAGCTTGCTGGATCTGCTGGTGTCCGACAATGCTTGTGAAGTGGGAGATAGTGCAGCCTGGCTGGAAAAGCACAAAAAGTGAGCTGTTCAAGATTTAAGTAAATTTATCTTATGTGTTTATTATGTGACCCCAAAATGTAAATTCTAAAGCATTTAGCTTTTTCATCCTACATTCCTCCAAACTAATGTCTATGGCAGCTTTTCTTTACCCTTTTACCCTGGAAATAATTATACAGGTCTCTTGGACCGCTGCAAAAAAACAAATATATCTACAACTACTTACAATACGTGATATGTAACTGTAGATAGATTAATAAAGGAAAAGATAAGAATGTGTTTTCTGTATAGTTAAGCTTGTGGTTTTTTTTCTGCACAAAGTTAAAATAATCATAATTTCCAGAAGGGGAATGCAGACAGTAAAAATTGTACGGTCTCCACAGTAGAACTATATAGGCACCGTCTGGCAGGAGACGTAGACCATTGTTCAAAGAACCTCTAATGGCCTCTGAAGGAATCGGAGCTTTCCTGGGGCAGTTAAAGTACTTAGGGACTCCTTTTATTGGTCTCTCTGGGAGCCAAAATGTGCTTTAGTGCATAAGGCTCCGTGGAAGACTTGTGCACACATTTTAGACTACCAGTAAATCAGAATATACATACCAGGTATAGGAGCTAATTATAACATGCACAAATATATAAACATTCCCATTGGTATACATACATAGCATATATTTAGATAGTTGACACAGAATTTGACTATTCTGTGCATCTATAGTATTTTGTCATCCACTTAAAGATGAATTACGGGGAAGCTGACCCTTCGTTTTAAGGGTGCAAGCTTCAGGGCTTTACTGCCTACTGAGTCACTGGCCTAGAACAAGTATGGCGGAGGTTGGCAATTTTGGCTTTACTGGCTGCTTACTTGGTCTAGGTCAGCGGGTCTTTAGATTGTTAAACAAGAATGAGGATGATGGACCTTTGAATCTTTAAAATGGAGCAACCAGTGGCAACACCACTATTTTGATCCTGACAGGTTCCAGTTGAAAGTGGCAGTAGGCAAAAAATTCTATGGATTTGCTACACAAATCACAATCTTTCTTCCTCTCCACTGCCACAGTTTTCTAACATATATTGTAAATGTTTTTTGTGAATGTAATTACAAATAGAATTACTATCAGTTTTTTCTTTATTGTTGGCCTTTTAAAGGAGATTTGTAGGTACTTCTAATCATCTGAATCGTGAACCCCCACCCCATCTGCTTACCTCAAGGAGATGGTCACGTCCTGCTCCAAGCCACAGCAATCCATCCTCTTAATTGCTGCCTGTTCCCATGCAGTGAACATTCATATACTTTTATAGAGCCATCTACAGTATATACTCGAGTATAAGCCGTCCCGAATATAAGCCGAGGTACCTAATTTTACCACAAAAAACTGGGAAAAAGTATTGACTCGAATATAAGCCGAGGGTGGGAAATGAGGCAGCTACTGGTAGATAGATACCAATAAAATTACATGAAT